ATGAGACTCAAGTCTGGGCTTTGGCTGGGGCACTCAAGGACTTTCACAATCTTGGTCTGAAGCCAGAACTTTGAATTCAGGCTGTAACACAACAAAATGTGGAATAAGTCAAGGGGTATGAATACTTTCTCAAGGCACTGTACATCCAATAGTCACGGTTCACCACTGTTTCAAACACTGAAATTATTTTTGTAAGGACCTGTACTTGGATTTCGTGCCAGGTAAACCGGTTTTGAGTGTGTGTGTGTGTGTGTGTGTGTGTGTGTGTGTGTGTGTGTGTGTGTGTGTGTGTGTGTGTGTGTGTGTGTGTGTGTGTGTGTGTGTGTGTGTGTTTGCGTGCTAACGTGCATGCGTGGGTGGGTCCGTGAGTGCATGAGTCATGTGCATGTGTGTTATTGAGCATGCATTATTACTTTAAGCTCATATGACCTGAACAGTTGTCAGGTGATGTAGTTATAATGCCCTACATACATTGTTGATGGTAGTAAAAGTACCAGTAGACTCATTTATATTGACAGTAGTAATTCACTTCCTGTCTGTCTGTCTACATGTGGCTCTGACCCACTTAGTGTGTGAGCAGTGTTGCGAATTAGGCCTAGTTACACAAAAATACATACATAGCTTCTCTATTATTCTAACTCCATGTTCTGGTTGCTTTGTGCTGGTTGAGCTCATTTTAAAGCTATGAAGGTAATTAAATATAGTTCACTCATTTGATCATCATGTTGCTTTTACAGTCATTATGGCATCCCATGCCAAGTTTTGCCTGCTGGCTATGGGGTAGGGATAGAGGTAAGGTATAGGGCTATAGGACTAGGGCTAGGGATTAAGGGTTGTTTCTGGTCGGAGCCACTGACACACTGAAGGTTCAAGGCATGGAAGAGATCCATCAGGCTGAAGCTTATGGCTGTAGCTACCCCTGGTGGTTGCCACTTAAGCAATAAGGCCAGAGGGGGTGTGGTATATGGCCAATATACCACGGCTAAGGGCTGTTCTTATGCACGACGCAACGCAATATACCACAAACCCCCAAGGTGCCTTATTGCTATTATAAACTGGTTACCAACGTAATTAGAGCAGTAAAAATATATGTTTTGTCATACCAGTGGTATACGGTCTGATATACCACAGCTTTCGGCCAATCAGCATTCAGGGCTCGAACCACCCAGTTTATAATGGGAATGTATTTATTTATTTTTACTGATCTAATTACGTTGGTAACCAGTTTCTAATAGCAATAAGGCATCTCGGGGGTTTGTGATATATGGCCAATATACCACGACTATATACCCATATACCATACCTCCTCTGGCCTTACTGCTTAAATATACTACTTTACTGCTGTTTAGAAAGATCACCACCAGAGTGGGAGAGTGAGCTACTCAGATTCACTGGCTGCACTGTCTGTCAGGATGACTTATCTGTAGTGCTGAGCAATTAACCGAGATTTATGTAATTTTTCGTTTTTTAAACAACTAATTGACCGACTTCTGTTCAATTATTTGAATTCCATTTCGTAATTTTTTTTTGGAACACCATTATTTTTGTCTTACTAAGATTTACTGTCAGGGCCCAGGTCTGACAGAATCTGTGCAGAAGATCTAGGTGATGCTGTAGGCCCTCCTTGGTTGGGGACAGAAGCACCAGATCATCGGCAAACAGTAGACATTTGACTTCAGATTCTAGTAGGGTGAGGCCGGATGCTGCTGACTGTTCTAGTGCCCTCGCCAATTTGTTGATATATACAGTATATCAGCCTAATCGAGGTTTAGATTACATCTCACATTCCAGTGTTCGAACTTGTAAACAAGGGAATTCTCTTAATGTGACTCGGTGCAGCCAGTAGCAATGTCCGCTTTAGGTATAATGCCAGGAGCCGCTTGTAGATTTGACAGCTCTAACACAGTTCCACCTCCAACACCACCAAAGCAACCGCCATGCGGATGTCGGCTAAAGCGGACCTGATTGAATAGAGCCCTTAGTCTCTGTTTGTGTGTGTGTTTGTCCATAAAGACATTCCATGGGGTCTCTCTGAGACTGACAGACCTGTAGCTGGTCCGCAGAGCAAGTGTGTGACCGGCCACACGAGTGTGTGTGAGTGAGAGTATGAGCAGAGCAATATTGTACATAGTTTAGCGCATAAAACGTGGGAGGCAGGGCCTTTTACAGTGGGGAAAAAAAGTATTTAGTCAGCCACCAATTATGCAAGTTCTCCCACTTAAAAAGATGAGAGAGGCCTGTAATTTTCATCATAGGTACACGTCAACTATGACAGACAAAATGAGAAAAAAAATCCAGAAAATCGAATTTATTTGCAAATTATGGTGGAAAATAAGTATTTGGTCAATAACAAACAAGCAAGATTTCTGGCTCTCACAGACCTGTAACTTCTTCTTTAAGAGGCTCCTCTGTCCTCCACTCGTTACCTGTATTAATGGCACCTGTTTGAACTTGTTATCAGTATAAAAGACACCTGTCCACAACCTCAAACAGTCACACTCCAAACTCCACTAT